CGGTGTGTGTGTGGGGGGGGGGAGTTCAACTGGCTATCTATTCGTTCATCATAACTCTAGGCCTCTTGGTTCTGAAATTGAAGTCATTTGAGAATTTAACAGATTGGATTACTATCCTTCTGAATAAAGATCCGGTTATTTTTATTTTATCAAATTTTGTAGTACTCCATACCTGCAACGTTCTGTCCACACATCACGGCTGCATGCTGTTTGGTTCTCCAGAAGAAGCTGTTTCAGTGTTTCAACAGATTTCAATCTGTTGACCTTGAATATAGGCCAATATATTGTTTCCATACATTGTAGCGCTCCTTGCTAGCAAGCCACTAGCGATGCATCACGACTCTAGTCCTCTACGTTCCTTAGAAGAAGCTGTGTTTGGTGTTGAAACAGATGTAACACCAGTGGCTTTGAATATCGGTCAAGGCCATTTCTTTCCACACACTTTGCAATCTCCATATCAGCAAGCTAAGCTATTTTGGTATTTTAACAGATTTGACCCATGCGAACTTGAATAAACAAGTTAAGTTCATTTCTTTTCTCCAAAAGTTTAGTTCGCCATGCCAGCAAGCGCATGCTACTTGCCATATACATTTGTATATAGCTATGATCAGGATAACGAGATACCATGGCAAGATACAGGTAGTTCGATACTAAATATATAGGATAAGGGTATCCAAAATGGAACGCTTTTTAAAGAAAAATAATAATATTTCCTATAAAATTTCTGAAAGACTTTTTTTTTTTTAATGAAATGAAACAATACATGTCTTTAGCCTTCATCGTAAGTATTTTTGCGTATCAACAGCGCGTGTGTCTATTTATAGAGCTCATTAAAGTGAGTCACTTGGAATTTTAAGCTGGTCCAGTACCCAAAATGGAACACTTCATCATAAAAGTCAGTTTATGAAAATAACTGACAGCATTTAAAAAAAAAATCTTCATTTCAAAAACGCTTTGACAATTTCTGACAAATGAGTCATTCATTTTCTAAAATATTAGTTTTAATATATAATTTTCCATGTTAAGAAATATGATAAGATATTTAAGTTGTCGAACTGTATCGTTTCCCGGGATTGATTTCATTTCATTTTCTTATATATTTCAATTGAGTTTATGAGCAATGTTTAAGAGTAGGTAGATGATATGGAATTTGCTCAAAATGCATCAAACTACGGACCATGGACCGTTTTTCTTTACCAAAGGTGCGTTGCGTTTTCGTTGCGTTTTCGTTGCGATTCCGTTGCATTTCCGTTGCGTTTCCGTTGCGTTTGCAAATAAACTAATTATTTAATTAATTAAATTAATTATTTCATGCATTTAACTATTTTGTTTGTATACTTATTTTGGTTTTTTTTACTCATTTACATTAAATCATACTTATAAATGTTCTATTTTTTCAGGGATATAAAAACATTTTAGCACTCACACATATGTTCCTAACATAATCTGTACATAGCCAGCGATTGCATGTATCGTTTTCTTACATAATCAGCAAAACGCATGTTCAACGCACATTCAACCAGTCAATGCAAAACTCCGCGCAAACTCAGCGCAAACGTAACGGAAACGCAACGAGAACGCAACGCAATCGCAACGTAAACGCAGAGTCTGTAACATATGCTATATGTAGGCAAAGAAGTAATAAAAACAGTAAAGACAAAGAAATTTGTCAAATTTTCAGCATCATGAACATTTACATATCACAACATATTACAGAGATAAAACGGTCACTATGAAACAACAATACAACAAAGAAGAATACAAAAAAACAACAGTAGTTACTGATATGAAATATGTTGTTGTAATCGAATATCCCCTCGATTAGATCGTTACCGATGACTAATTATTGAAAATATTAAAATATTAAAATTCATCTTGAATACAAAAGATCAAGTGAATTAATATAAAAAAAACTGAGTTAATCTAGTGAGAAAAAAATCTATGTCGTAATTGTTCGTTTAAACACAAGGTGAAACAAACTGCGATAGACTGGGTGTATCTGCACGTAAAAATGGCGGACAGGGTCAGGGTCACTCCCCCTCGACCAAGTAGTTAACAGCGGTCAAAGATAGAAAATGGGGGATACTATGACAGTAACAATGCTGGTACGATTGTTGTAAATACGAAATATTACCTAGGTTAGATGAAAAACTTCGAGAACTGTAGTAGACATTTGTGCTCGAGGGATCTTAATGTGGGATGTAACCAGAGTACCTGGAGAAGACCCACGTGTCGGGGAATCTTTCTACTCTTTTTCTATATATGCTTTCAAAATAAAACATTGCTTTATTTTGTGGATATTTTGACAATAATGTTCGTAATTGGTTATCATTTTGACAACTTCTTCATCATTTTGTCTTCCCGGAAGGTAGTCATACAACGACGACAGAAAAGATGAGTCAGCTAAGTTTATTGCTTATATTGAAAGAAAAATGTGAGACACTGCATGAGGTTGCATTATACAGCTGTTTCGTCCTTCAAGGATTTACCGGTGATGCCAGGGGTCAAAAAGTGGTAAACAAACTTGCTAATTGGTCAAACCTCTTCCTGAAACATAACGGGAAACGCGTAATACCCTTGATGATATGCATTTAAAAATAAGAAGAGTGCTGGTTAATTTAGAAGTAATGAATATTGTGAATATTAAAAACCATGTTACAAATCAAATAAATAAATATAAGTGTAATGAATAAAACTGAAGAAATTAAAATAAAAAATAAAAAGAGGTTAGAGAACGTGTCGATCGTCCTAAATGCGATAAAGAATAAGGAGTTCAGTCAAATAGTCGTGCAAAGGGTTTTAGACATATATCCGATACCTTTTAACTAAAAAAAGGAAGTGTTTACTTTGAAAATTATCGGACAATTTAAAGGATATTTTATTTTGCATATTTACTCAGATTTTTTAATTGTTATTTCTCCATCAGGTATTATCTTACTACATCCTGTTTTGTCACACTACTTCATGTATCATCACATGTATCATCACACTACCTACTAGTATCTTACCACACTGCACCATGTATCATCTCACTACTTTAATTATCATCTTTCTATATCATGTATCCTCTTATTACACTATCATGTATCAGCTCACTACATCATGTATTATCTCACTACATCATGTATCATTACACTACATCATGTGTCATCATTTTCTTTACTTGATTTCTCTTTTTCTTGTGTTTTTTTTTACGAATTGCATACCCCATATGTGTTGCAGTATACATCTGAGCCTAATATTAATCTGGAAAATAAGACATTTCTACATGTAATCTACACCTGTTCCGGAATAAAGGTTCATTTTTCTTTTAGTGTTGCCTTGATCTGAGTCTGACAAACACTTCAAATTTAGAAAACGAAAACAAGAAAAAGAAAACAACGTGCATGTGTGGTCGCACATTGCAGATGATATTACAAAAAGTAGAGGTATAGTTAACATGTTGTCTAGTGCATGTTTGGGGACATAAACTGGTAGTAGACAGTACCGCCAGAGAAATTACTACTTTCCTCTCTATGCCGTTGTAGTAGTACTAGTGTTGTTTATGATCTAGCGCCTACTGTGCTGTACTCGGTCGACTTTTTTTAAAATTTATACGCTAATATAATAATTAATATTAAAATGTATCAACTAAAGTTATTGATGACTTTCTACATTGGTGTTAGGTATATTTCATGTAGGGTTTGTGAGAGCAGAGTCAGCTTTTCACAACTGCCGTTGTCACACTCGCTTAAAAACAAACACATTTTTATATGAAATTGATTTTAATGATATGGAAGACAAAGAAGACTTAACTTGTGACATAAAACTACTAAAAAGGAAACAGGATTTCGGGCGAAACAACCCGGAACCTGCCACCCTTAGCTCTCCAGCCCGATGCTCTACAGCTGAGGTAAAGGGGAATTCTTTAACATCTGACGCTTGTAAGACAACCTTAAATCAATGCACATCTTTTACACTATGCCCCCCTTTTTTCAAACACCTACCCAGGTTTATTGACTACCCACTAAGGGTTCCCCTAACCTGAACAGGGAAGGTCAACTGCACCAGTTTGTAGTAGGACAGTAATAGTGCAAGATAGTGCCGTCGCTGGGGCTCAAACCTGCGACCCTTGACTCTCCAGCCCGATGCTCTACCGCTGAGCTAAAAGGAAATTCCCTACAGCTGACGCTTGTAAGAGAACTTAACCAATGCACATCTTTTACATGTGTGTTAGACATTTAAACGAACTCCTGCGGTTTTTCCGATATAAAAATACATCTTCACTTAAAAGTTTTTACTTTCTACACATAATGTATCCAAATATGTTTTTGGTTAAGTTAGAAATTAATTTCTGACCTACAATAGGCACAAGGGATGTGGCATATTGTTACTTTCTGATCAGGGTTTCGGTAAAATTGTTTATATGCACAATACCAACACTAATACTCATTCACAAATTAAAATTTGGGTACTTCAGCAAGGAAAGTGCCACTGTTCTGTTCTGTTTGAGACTTCCCTTCTTTGATAGGAGAACATCTGTGATTGGTGGAGTATAACAACTGTGGTATAGGATACCTTCACCTAGCCCGATCAAGTTTTCCCTGGCCCTGACACCAGACATTGGTCCTACATTGTCTACATTGCTCACATGTGAAAAACATTAAAATATTAGCCACACGAGTGAAATACATTTGTTATTACTGAAGACACCATTAAATATCCTCTATATACTGCCAACAAAGTAAACAGTAGCCCGAGTTTCATCTGACCCTGACACCAGACTTAGACATTTTGACAGATAGATGTCTGGTGTGGGAAAATGTCAAAGTCTGGTGTCGGGGCCAGAGAGAACTTGGGCTACCCTTCACCATAAAATCATTTTGGAGATTTATATACAATGTACACAGTCATAAAACTTGCATTGGAACTTTCATATACACAGTCCAAGGTAAAAGTTCATAAAACAAACACACCACTTCATGCTCAGATTTTACTTTTATAGAAATCATTTTACATAGCAAAGGTGCTTAATAAAATGTATTTCTATATGTCAACACAAAGTTGGATTTTCTTTCCTGAAGCGAGATTTGACAAAGCCACAGTATTAGACCACCCAACTTTTTTCAGTGCCTTTCTGACCACTTGGATCGATACACTGGATCATTAAAACATGCCTATATCATACTTGCTAACTCTCCATATTTTGGAGGGAAACTCCGGATTTTGGGCCCTTAAATGGAGCATTTTCAACCAGTGAATTTGTTAGATTATTTATATTTTCTAAGATCTGATGATTTATCTGAAAAAACAACAAGTCAAAAGATTCAAAGATGATATTTTCTCTCTAGTGTATGTAATGTAGACACATTCAATTTATGTTGTTAATTTAGAGCATGTGTAAACTGCGCAATGGAAATTTCAAAAAGGTCAATTGGCAAGTATGTATATATGCAAACCCATTTCCCATCATGACTTACTTACTTTAGTCTCTCTGCCCCAGTAGGCGCATAAGGCCTACACACTTCCCATCATGAAGTCATATTTTATTCCCCTGGTTAAGAATTTTCTACTGAACATCAAATTCATAAAACAAACATAATTTAATTAAACACCTTTAAAATGAACTTGAGGGGCACAACTGAGTTATGGTCCTCTGTCTCGTTTGTTATGCAGACAGCAGTGTAGTGCTAGTTGGTAATAAGAGCTGATTGCATTGTAACATTTACAGCACAGACGTTAAAGGAGCAGAAAATGTGCAGCCAGACTGGTATTTGAACCTGGGATGCTTTATAAATAGATCAGTTCTATTAATTAAGTCACCACTTATATATGTGGTCATTCCACTATCCAGAAAACAGATAAGATGTTTTTCAAAATTACAGTAAGTTTTGCTGAGAATAGAGTCTGGATATCAAGGCCCCTTCTTATATGTTACATGCAATCATTAACTATTACGTACATAAAGAAGGATATTTCACCTGCAACAGCAATATTGTACAAACTTTTTCTAAATAAAAAATGGTTTTGCAATTTATATGTGAAGTGTGTCTGTCAGAGAATGCAAGCATTCGTTATCTGTTATGAAGTTTCACAGCGAACAGGAACTGCAGTCTCACACTTTCCACAAAGCAAGATTTGATTCATGATCATTGACTCCATAAGAGGGAGGTGATTGAGTTGGCCTCTAGAAATTGAAATATTTTCTTTTACAGAATGGCAAAGGAAGAGAAAGGTGTATGTTATTGTGGGGAAAAAGACATTGAAGCTGACACACCAAATCTTGTCTGTGCCCGATGTCGCGGAAACTTCCATTTAGGTTTGTGATTAAGGCAGAATTCAGTAAAAAATATTCTGTTACATACTACAAAAAGAATTGGGCTACATCGATTTCTGTTACAGATATCTACTAGTGTTGGAATAGGTTTGTTGCGCACCAAGTACTATATAATAATGTGTCCACTTTAGACTCCATCTTGAAATACTACATGTCAAAAAACGTGTGAAAAATGTGTGATGTTTTGATCATTCATGAATATAAATATACACTCAAATCTGAACACTATGGAAATATAACATTCAAGTTCATAAAAGAAGCAAAACTTGACATTTTTTATGAATGAGGATTAATATTTACTTCATTTTAAATTATTGTATATTTTTGTCGAAACACTATATTTATTCCGTACATCTTTTTATGAATCATATGCATGTAATGTCAAATATGAATAGGATATTGTAAAATTTAGTACATTGTATGTTAGATATATTTAATAATTTATATATTTAATGGTCAGTTAAAGGAAGTCATTCAGATTAAGTGTTTTAACCATTTTATCAGTCCAACTCTGTTAAAAATGTTAACTAGCCGAAAGTGTTTAAAAGTTGGACCTTTTACCTTCAGAGTGCCTGAAGTCAGGTTCCCCGTCCTCACTGGTTGGAGATGTATTCTTTGATTTCACATGCTCAAAATGCGGAGAAAGACACGAAGAGGTGGTGGAACGGATGAAAATGCAGTGGTAATAGACTGTACAATATGCATGGTAGTCATAGGCTGTAACCCTCTGTACTGAGTACTGATATATACATTCTAGTCACAGGTACTAGCCTGGTCTATCAGTAAACCCATCGTATAATCTTGGACAGACGAGGCTAGGACCTGTGTTCAAGTGAAACAGCATTTATTATAAGAGGCGACTAAAGTGGAAACCCTTTGCTTTTGTTCCCTCTTCTTGGGGACACAAAAAGTGACCATAAATAAATCTGCTGCACCCATTGCAATATTTGGGATCTTTATATTTCTTTTTACTGCTAAATCCCTTTTCTTTCCTAGAGCCTTGCTTGGCAACACCTCACTTTTGGCTTTAATGTTGAATGTTCACCCATGTAAGGAAGGCAATGGGTTCTGTCCCCTGGCCGGTACATACGAAAGTTTTTTTAAATGGTAGATGTTATTCCCTGTTTAACGTTCAGCATGTAGGGGAATGGCAACACCGGTACCTGGTCCACCCGTTGTCAGTATAATGTGACCGGGCGGAATGCTGTGTGTGATGTGTGACTTTGGCATGGTATTTCAGTGAGATAAAACTATAAAGTCGGCATCAGATCCGCACTATCACAAGGAGGCAAATATCCAACATACCCTGTGTCCTACGCACATGCACTCTTGCACAACACACAGGGAGGCACATTCTTAAATGATGCATATACATGTACCTGAAATCTTGTGTATTTCATAAGATAAATGTTTTCACAAAGCAATGTACATGTAATATGAATTAGAATAAATAATAAAAAAGATAACATATCACGTATTACTGTTCATTTAACACAGAACTTTTCTATCATTTGAAAACAAATGAAAATGAATCATGAAAAAATGATATGCATGCAAGAAAAATTATTAGAAGTGATTTACTGGAATCAACAATATTCCCTGAACTTGCGTCACTTCAGTAAAGATATTAATGCTATTGCATTGATACTTTTGTGGTAATTGTTCTTGAGAAATTTGCTAGAAACCAATACATACACCTCTATATTTACCTATACGTTGTATACATACACCTCTATATTTACCTATACGTTGTATACATACACCACTATATTTACCTATACGTTGTATACATTAAACATACCCCTCTATATTTACCTATACGTTGTATACATACACCACTATATTTACCTATACGTTGTATACATTAAACATACACCTCTATATTTACCTATACGTTGTATACATTAAACATACCCCTCTATATTTACCTATACGTTGTATACATACACCACTATATTTACCTATACGTTGTATACATACACCTCTATATTACCTATACGTTGTATACATACACCTCTATATTACCTATACGTTGTATACATACACCTCTATATTTCCCTATACGTTGTATACATACACCTCTATATTTACCTATACGTTGTATACATTAAACATACACCTCTATATTTACCTATACGTTGTATACATTGTATACATACACCTCTATATTTACCTATACCTTGTATACGTTGTATACATACCCCTTTATATGTACCTATCCGCTGTATACATACACCTCTATATTTACCTATACATTGTATACATACATCTCTATATTTACCTATACATTGTATACATACACCTCTTTATTTACCTATACATTGTATACATACACCTCTATATTTCCCTATACATTGTATACATTGTTTACATACACCTCTATATTTACCTATACATTGTATACATTCACCTCTATATTTACCTATACATTGTATACATTCACCTCTATATTTACCTATACATTGTATACACACACCTCTATATTTACCTATACATTGTATACACACACCTCTATATTTACCTATACATTGTATACATTCACCTCTATATTTACCTATACATTGTATACATTCACCTCTATATTTACCTATACATTGTATACACACACCTCTATATTTACCTATACATTGTATACATTCACCTCTATATTTACCTATACATTGTATACACACACCTCTATATTTACCTATACATTGTATACATTCACCTCTATATTTACCTATACATTGTATACATTCACCTCTATATTTACCTATACATTGTATACATACATCTCTATATTTACCTATACATTGTATACATACATCTCTATATTTACCTATACATTGTATACATACACCATTATATTTACCTATACCTTGTATACATTGTATACATACCCCTCTATATGTACCTATCCGCTGTATACATACACCTCTATATTTACCTATACATCGTATACATACACCTCTATATTTACCTATACATTGTATACACACACCTCTATATTTACCTATACATTGTATACTTACACCTCTATATTTACCTATACATTTTATACATTGTATACATACACCTCTATATTTACATATACCTTGTATACATTGTATACATACACCTCTATATTTACCTATACATTTTATACATTGTATACATACACCTCTATATTTACATATACCTTGTATACATTGTATACATACACCTATATATTTACCTATATGTTGTATACATTGTATACATACACCTCTATATGTACCTATCCGCTGTATACATACACCTCTATATTTACCTATACCTTGTATACGTTGTATACATACCCCTTTATATGTACCTATCCGCTGTATACATACACCTCTATATTTACCTATACATTGTATACATACAACTCTATATTTACCTATATGCTGTATACATTGTGTTATATTTACCTATACATTGTATACATACACCATTATATTTACCTATACCTTGTATACATTGTATACATACACCTATATATTTACCTATATGTTGTATACATTGTATACATACACCTCTATACTTACCTATACGTTGTATACATTAAACATACACCTCTATATTTACCTATACTATGTATACATTGTATACATACACCTCTATATTTACCTATATGCTGTATACATTGTGTATTTAACCTTTGAGATGTGTTAACTGTTGACAGGACACAAGTGGTACTGCTGGCCCTGTATAACTTACAGCTAAGTGGTAAAGTGGGAAAGTTCGGATACTACCGATGGAAAGAACATATCTGTGCCTTCATAGACAAGTACTGGCTGGTCCTGTTTGGGAATCACAGGTAACACATTATCCAGTTTTCTTACAGAAAATGTCACGGTAGGACAAATGTTAATGGCAGTTTGAATGCCACAACATTTTAAGGATTTTTCTTGTACAGTGTACTGATTTTGAAGAAAAGGATTTCCTTAAATTTAAATTTTTATTTTTTTAAATATAAGCTTTATTTATTTTACAACAATTATGAAACAGGTTTTTACAACTTATATTAATCACTCTTGTTGGCCCGAGTGATATTATAGCTATCAGTTTGGATAAAGATACCCCCATTATTGCTTCCAATTTGCTAATGTTGACCCGAAAACAACCAGGTTCTGGTTAAAAAAAGTCACCCGATTTAGATGTGGCAGTTCTTTCCCTTTATATCTTTATAGTCTTGTGTGCTACAGATACTAAGCAGATAAAAAAATTAAAAAATATCTTGCTCTTTTTTTTTTGGTTGACAAAAAAACGAACAAGTGGGAAGAGATTATTTCAAAATCTTTATTAAATAAAGAGTCTGTTTTTCAAATGTATTTTTGAGGGTCGCTGATCCTCATGTACAAGACATCATAAAATTGTCACACTTACCTCGCCCTACTTTATCTCCCTATAGTTTAGCTCCCTGTAATGTATAGGGAGGTTTCGTCTGATACATCGGGTATTAGTAGTGTGTTGACATCGTGATGTGGTTGTCTTCTCCAGGAAGAAGACAAACTTGTGGCATGGTACAGTGGCTGGTACACTGTCTTCGGGCTGTCCTCATCACTTCGTATCAGGAGCCAAGGAGTTGGGAGAGTCTGGCTGGTGGAGGCTGGCTGAGATGAAGCCACCTAATCACAAACTAAGTAATCATTTCTGTACTGCCATATCATCTGCATGGCTGGGAATCTTTTTTCCTTTAACCCTAGACAGGTGTATCCACACTTTTCCCAGTGTGGGATATATCCTAGGGTTGAAACAAGGGAATTCCTGTATCGTAACAATTGTATGACGTCACTTTAATTAATCAATGAATGTTTTAGCAAATGTTGCTATAGGACCATAACATTATTTGCTATTAAGATATTCATTATTTATATTTACATTTGGAAAGAGTAGTTATGCTCTATGTAGTTATTTCGAACAGTTCTTTAAACAGAAAATTAAGTGTTCACAACAATGAAACTGATGCTGTCACAATAGAGATTGATGACGTTACAATAGCAAATGTTGTTATAGTCTCACAACAACATTTGCCTTCTCAATGCATTGCAATGAAAGGATGCAGAGCAAATGTAAATATCAACTACGTATTGACCCTGTAACATGAATTCTGCTTTATTGATACATGTACATTACAGGGTCAGATGAAAAGAATCATTCAGTCCACTGAGTGTGAGATAGGGGGATCTCAATCCTTATTATTATTCCTTGGTTGTCAAACACTTGTCATGCCTCGTGTTTGGCAACTTAAGAATCTTCCCTCTTGAATTGATATTCTCCTTTCTCACCCTCATGGGAACGAAAGATTCCATTAATCTTTGGAAGGAAAGTTTTAGAACTCTGCCTCTGAGTAATCATTTGCTAGCTTGGCATTAAGCAAATTCATAAACGTTTTAATATTAGACATCAGCAGAGAAGTTTAAGTTATTAAAAAGATGGAGATTTTATCATTCTGAAGTATTGTTTGAAAAATGTGTTAAGATTAAAGAAACATTGGTTCTCTTCAAACATTTTTTTTCCCGTGTGATCGTATCAAATGTCCTGTTCATATACATGAGAGTGTGCTGTATTTTGAGATAGTGGAAATTTACCTCAAGAGCTACATCTGTTATTCTTAACTCTCCTTTGATGATTGATCTAGGCTGTTCTATTTAGCTGTTTTCCCCTGATATGATAGTTCTTTTTTTTCAATGGCATTCCATAAATATATCCCCCTCCCCAGTGATAAATAATCCTTGATACTTGTTTGCATGCAGTCTTTTTCCTTGTATAGTAAATAACTTTCCAAAACATAAAATACACAGCACACTTTGATTTTCACCACCTCATCCAAATGCACGATAATTATATAAAAAAATATATAAAAAAATCAAATATTGCCTTGTTATACTCAACTCAACACACATAAACTAACATGCATGCAAATTCATAGACAGTAGGATCATGTTAAAAGTCCTTTCTTGTATCCAGACATGCACATTTACTGAAGAAAAAAATATTAAAATATGTTCACGGAATATATAACAGATTAACTCAAAATCATCTGTGCACCACCCCGTAATGGTCGTAATAAGTACAATGGATAGAGATCGTTTACACATAAAGAAGTAAAAGATGAAGTCGTTTTATCAACATGATTTCCCCCTTAATAATCAATTCATTCTGGTCCTCCATTGTAGTGACATCTTCCAACAAGGCCGGGCGCCGGCGTGTGAGCCACCCTCTACCTCCACAGGACCATGGAACCACCATCAAGGTGGAGGGTCTGCGAAACAGGAGAGGCAAAACATCTATCGAGGCTGCCATGGAGTTGAAGGCCAAGAGAGAAACTCTGCTGGTCAGTAAGAAGGCATCTAATATCCATCTGATTTTGTGTAATGGGGTTAAGTTGGCATTTTCAATATAGAATACTTGTTAAAGATATAGAAATACATCAATTTCCTCCCACATTAAGGCATCATACGTGCTACCATCCAGGCCAACAAGAGTGGTTGACATAAAGTGATGGAACTTATTTTGTCATTGTTGTAAAATAAATAAATTTTAAAATCTTTTTATTAACAGCGAATGTCATTTCGGGATGTACTTCCATGTACGTAGTGTATGCGTTTATGTGTCTGTGTCCTGGAGGCGGTATGTATGTGTTGTTTATCTCTGCATATAGTTTATTTATTTTGATATTAAAATAAAGATTATTTTTTTGTAATGGGCTCCACAGGAGGCAAAGGAAATCAGGAAAGCCAAGCAATCCCCACTACAGAGCCAAACTAGTCACCTGATCCATGTTGATATAAAACAGGAGCTCGGGGAAGTGTCGGGGAAGTTTATCCCTTTGGAAAACACTCTCAGCATGCCGACCCCTTCCGGGTCGGCTGCTGGCCAGAGTTTCCAGCCTGTCTTTAATCAGGTTATCAAACAAGAACCTATTGATCCAAGCTTCTTGTCAACACAGAGGTCAAGTTCATCACAAGGTCAGAACTCGTTCACATTCTCACCTGGATCCTCTCAGATTTCAAACCTTTCGTTGACCCAGAGCACTAGCCTCAGCAACATATCATCATCTGGATCAGTCAGCGGGTCATTCAAAGATGTTGATGAGGATAGCCAGTTCTCTCACAGCAGCAGCAAGAATGACATGTGGCTTACCGAACACGACCTCAAGGCTGATTGTAAGTTCCTATATTAAACAAGGGCTAACAGGGAGAACAGTGCTATCCATGTGTCACCACTCAAGAGATGTCAGTAAAAATATAAAGTTCTACAGGGGCCTGTTTGTTAATGTGGACCAACTGGTCTGTCTATTTTTATGCCCATGCATAAAATGGGGGGGGGGGGGGGGGGGGGGGGCATATAGTGTTGCCCATGCCCATGCCGTCCCAATTCAATGTAAACACTTAGCAACTTCATTCTTTCTCAGATTTTCGTCGAACTTTATACAAAGGTTAAGTATGAGTATACGTTGGACATCGTTGTGTTTCAGGGTTCCAAGGTCATGGTTGCTATACAGCATTCATGTCTTACAGACATTTTCTAGTTTAAATTTAATATTTCACAGATAAAACCTGACAGACATACAAATGTCAATGCAGGTCTTGACATTTTTTTCAAGGCTCGACAGAAAACTATATCAAATAACTAAAGTCCATCCTTATTTCATATCAAAATGAACAACTCTGGTCCAACTATTTGGAATGTGATCAACGAAAGCGGCTGAGATCTGCCATTGAATAAGTGTGATGGAAAAGGAATCCGTCCAAACATGGAACTATATATGTAACTTTAAATTTTGCTTTTATTGAATTTGATTTTTTTTCTGAAAAAGTAACAAGTTAATGACTGTTTTGTGCTGAGAGTATTTATGTAAGCAAAAAAATTGTAAGGAACCCTAGATATTTGAAAGATTTCTCTTATATTCTTCTATGTTTTCAGAATTACTGCTGGTTCAGAACTCACCATTAAAAAAGCTCTAACTCTGTATTTCAATGATTCACAGCCAGTCTCCCCAACCTGTTGATGACGGACGACATGGATAACGTCGACTCTGACAGTGACCTTGAGATTGACCCTGGCACGATAACTCCGCCTCCGGGATCACCGTCGAATCAGCCTCAACCAGACTCGCCCACCCTCCAGGATATTCTGATGTCCATAAGCTCCAGAGACGGTGAGGCTGTCAGCACGTAGAGGAATCATAAAAGTCTTTGGTGTCATTTAGAAACATTTATTTATTTATTATTTATTTGTGTCTATGAGGGAAGTCCTTGCCAGATACCATGCATATTTCAGGGCTAGAAATTAATTTTGAATATCACTAGTCAATCGGGGTAGTACTTTTCAATTTTTGCTAGTCCATGTACACATTTCACTAGCCCAATACTATTCAACAAGATAAGCAGTATCGTATTTTGACTAGACAATCATGCTATCGGTTTTTAGAACCACTAGTAGTCCTGCTGGAGATTTCACTAGTCTCAGACTATTGGTCTACCGTTATTGTCTTGCCCTGCAGATATTTTGTAAGTTTCTGCATTCTGATTGATTGATTTGTTCCATGTAATTTCTTTGAGTAATATAAGTATAATATATAGAATCTCATTCTTGGTTTCAACCCAACAAAGATCTATGTCAAACATTGGTATATATGTATGAATACTATTTTTGAATTCGTCTAATCAAAAAGTATTTCTCACAACAGATGTTTCCGCCCAAAATACCTCAAACATGGGAAGTGGTATTAGTGTTTTGTCGTTTCCATCGGTCGGTCCTTTAGACTTTGTGCTTAGCTCCATTGCTGACATGACTAAGCTTTATATAACAGTACATCATGAAGAGTAATAATGAATTGTGTCATATGTGGGTCAATTTAAACTATTTAATCTGCTTCAATGATTTTGGATAGACTTTGGATTTAGCTCCATTCCCATTGAATTGGGAACAGAAGCTTATCCTTATTTTACAGATATTCTTTAGTGTTGTATTTATGCACAAGGAGAATGAATTTTGCTTTTAAATATCTGACAAAAAAATATTTAAACATTTTAAAACGTTCACAGTTGTATCCAATATTGTCCAAGAATGAATTTATTCTGTCATGAATAAGGTGTTAAAGATTTAAAAAATAAGTAGTCGAAACAATATTGTAATTTCTAATTATTTCCAGATAAATTGATTTGCCACCAAGTCACACCAACGAATCCCTTGTGATTTCTCTATGTCTTTTTAGACGTTTTTTTAATGAACTGTTCTCAGTCTCCTTTCTGACTTATCAGTGTTCAAGTTGAATATAAAACTTATTTGCTTATTTGAAAAAACACTGCACTCATCCAAATCCTATTGATTAGAATATATCTGTTTCAGAAGGATAAAGGAGATTTGTATTGCTTGTGAAGGTGTTGTCAAAAGCATTGTCACTGAAAAACAGAAAAGTTTTCACTGTGTGTTAATACTTTTATTTGCTTATTTGAATTGCATTATGCATGCATGTACATGAAATGTACGTTGCCCGCGGAAAATAATTGACTTTAGGAAACAAATTTTCATATCTCCCTTCGTCTATGGCAAAGAACAGTGTATTGTAGAGAAAAATAAACAGCTTAAGCAGGCAAAATATACCTTTGATATCTTTCATCAGATTACTTTTATTTGCCTTGAAAAAACTAACAAGTGGCATTTTTAAAAAGGGCAATAACTCTGTACACAACAAATGTGATGCTCTGAACTGAAACACACTACTCACTAGGTGATATGAGGTTTTGTTTCCCAGTCATGTGATATGTTTAAGTGAATCCCACTCTATACTTGTCTGACAAGGAAACAGAAACATTAGTTTCCCAAAGGTCAATACTTCATAAAATACAAAGAAAAGCAACTAATGTTTAAGTGAATCACACACTATACTTGTCTGACAAGGAAACAGAAACATTAGTTTCCCAAAGGTCAATACTTCATAAAATATAAAGGAAAGCAACTATTGATGAAAGGGAAACAAACATTCCCATCAACAAGTATTTTACAATGAAATAGAAGAGAAATAATTTAAACATATTAGCAATTCACTTTTCTCTTATTAGATATCAGTATGGACATGGATACTTGTACCAACTTTGGAAATCAATCTGAAAATTACTTCAGTTTTCAAGGATATAAGGAAGACATATCGAGTAGTAGCCATAGCAACAAGGGAGTGGAATCGGAGGAAAGTCGGGGTGTGAGTCAGCAGGAAGTGGTGATTGGTACGAGTACGGAAATACTCAGTAGTCAAACAGACAATACGTATACCAAGGTGGTCAAAAACGAGGACGATCAATCGGTGGTGGACTCTGAAAGTGAGAAGGAAAGTGACAGTGAAAGCAGCTCATGCGAAGGTTCAGATTCTGGGATGGCTGTTCAAAGTGAAAGTAGACCAAAACGAAAGCGGAAGAAGGCAAAAGAAGCTGATGAAGCAAAAGAGGAGGAGACTCCACCCCCACCAAAGTGAGTGACAGGTGTTTTACCTTGCCTCAGGGTTCCCCCTGGGTCTTAATGGCAAGGAGATAGTTCCCCCTCCCATAAGTTTATTAGCAAGGGCATCATTATGCTGGATATGATGTAATATTTTTTAGATAATTTCTGTAAATTATGAAAAAAGTCAGTTTAAAAAATAATTTTGATACTTTCTATAGTCCAGCTTCAGACACTTGCAGAGTAAACGTTTGAGATGACCCCTTGCTTGTTTCCTGTAAAGTGTGTTGATACCAAATATTGTTGGTGGACCCAGAGGGTATATACATTGTATGTATACAAAATTGCCCTTGTTCTTGCATACAGTACTAAAAACGCATCAGATTTGAAGAAGTGTTAACATGAGCACATCTGTACAAGTCTACCATTATGTTTGGGCCATTCCGTGTAACTTCTATACCTTAGTTCAGACAACGCTGTATATATCAGTTCCTTCATGCCCTCAGCTTTTAAATCATCAGTAGTTATTACATGTTATGGAATGTTACATTGTTAAAGGCCCTATAATGAAACACAGTATTTAACACTAAATTTAGCCTGTTCCATTATTAGGGCCCCGACATCGAAGATGGGGGCCACTCAAGTAATCACAGTGACCCTCTGTCTGTCCACACTTTTTAATTTGTTTCCGAAAAATCCTACACAGATTATATCCTACTGAAATGGTCTGTTTAGCTTGGTAGATTTTAGAAGCATTATCAACAGTCATGCAACTTTTCTGGAAATAAGATAGTCAGAAAAATGACCAAGAATGACCTGATAAAATGTGAACACAGTATGCTAGTGTTTTACCTGTATTTCCAGGGTCGTCCTAATGAGTTTATACGAGAAGGTTAGAGAAATAACCAAGAATGACCTGATACAATGTGAACACAGTACAGTGTTAGTGTTTTACCTGTATTTCCAGGTTCGTCCTAATAAGTTTATACGAGGTTAGAAATAACCAAGAATGACCTGATACAATGTGAACACAATACAGTGTTAGTGTTTTACCTGTATTTCCAGGGTTGTCCTAATGAGTTTATACGAGGAGCGACAACTGCTGAAGAAAATGAACAATGTGACAGACGCAGGTGAACTTGCACCAGCACTGAACAGACTGCGGCGCAAGCTTATCGTCAGACAGGTACTCACCATTACAACAAATCAAGGAAAAACGTGTCGGGATTTTCTTAAGACTGGTATCTCTGAGAAGCATTCTAAGGATAATGTGGCGACTTTAGTTTATGACAATTGAAACCTCTATTTTCGCTAGAGGTTCCCTTTTCCCTTTTTTTTAACTGATCCATTTCATGTCTTTAGGCAATGCAGCAAGGTTTTACTGTATATAAAATGCTTCTACCCATAATGGAATTTGTATATACTATGAGTTTGAACACTTCAATGCTTGCAATTTTTACACGACACAAACATTTCACATGACAACGGCAAGCGAGAAGGATCTCTATTAAATTTTAGGTGAAAAGGATTAAAGGTCAAGTCACATTAACTGATATTAGTGTAAATAAATATTTCCTGTAGAACATCTCTGTTCATTTTGTCAAATTTATATGCACAGCCTAGTGGTATTCAAGGGTTTTAATTCCCTGAGAGCAAGACATATTTAACGGATATAATTTCTCCTGACTGACAGCAGGAGTTTTATGAATTATGAAGACTGTTTTGTAATAGCCTTTGGAATACGAACTGCCTAATGTTTCTTTTAGCTAAAGCGTGAGAGAGGAGTGCCTATATTTGATATTGACGTGGAGATGAACCGACTGGCTCGTAAATGCTGGGGAGGAGACTGGGAGGTTAGTAAATGTGTATTACATATACGTCTAATCACATTTTGTGGTAAACAATTGTGTAAATTGAAAATGTCAGTTACGTCAGATACTGTGAAATCAGATGTTTTCCTGGGGCACAAATTTCATGGTTTCCCGACAAAACACCATGTTGTGGGCGGGTACAGGCATTGGTTGATTACGAGTACCCACTCGAATGGAGAATGGCTTTGTGTAAAACTTGTAATCACTTCATGCACCTAGCTATGAATTGGTGAATGAAAATTTCCTGTGAAATCAGCAACATTAAATAATAACCACGAAAAATAGTGATTTCACAGTAATTAGATATGCTTACTATTTAATAAATATTTTGTGTCGCCTGCAACGCAATAGCGACATGTAGGTATTACTTTGTCGGCAACAAGGTTTCCGTGCGATTACTTGAGTTCCCTTGGATGATTGAACTCAAACTTGGTACACATATTGCATACCAATATCGCTCAGACAAGTTCGCATTTCAGAAGTTTACGTGCATTTTTGGTGGAGTAATGTCCCTTCTATTGCCAAATAAGGGTATTGTGTAGTAAATGCAAGAACTTTTTTTATTTTTGAATCAGTTTCTTTCAAATTTTGTACGATAATACTAGAAGCAATAATGGTTAACTTATATTACAGGTTTTCTGTCGCGTTTCAACTTTCCGCATTTTGGCATATCTGTTTACACGATAACTCAAGCTAAATCACTTTTCTTAAAAGCGCGGAGCAGGCAACACATCCACTCCCGTGAAATTCTTGTTTGATACAGAATTGAAGTATTCAGACCGTCTCTATCTCTTAATAAACACAACTTTTGTGTTCCAGTTTAAATGTCCTACGATTAAGTCCTCTAATAACAGTCAATATAAGGAAAGCCTTTATGATATAAAACAATCCTCACCTCATATCTCATGCATGTATTACATTTATTAAAAAATAGTTTCTTGATGTACATGAGAAGCTGCCTCATTTGTCCTGAATATTTTCTTATATTTGTCTTTGCAAATGTTAAATAAAATACTTTTCTTCAATACATCTTTTTTATCAATTTTTTCTTCTCTTGAAAGTTATTTGACTTTTGTTTTGATAGGAACACAAAGACCTGAATCACCACGCTTTGCCTTCACATAGACTACAACCGGGCGATGTCAGAATACTTGACAGATTTCAGGTACTGAAGCAATGTTATGCCTAGTGTGTAACAGGATAGAGAGTAGAGTGCTTCCACTGGGAATCAAACTCCCAATCCCAGGTAGCAGTATACAGTAGAAATGGCCCGACTCTGATAAACAAGGCACATGTCGAGGAAATGTAAACACAGCGGATTTACCCTACACAACACATGTATACATGTATATATATTTGTAAACTGCATTACATTTACAATACATATAAGATACTGAGAAGTGTATAAACCTCTTTTTTCTATGTATGTCACTAGTGTGAAAACCATGGTTACCACATCAAAAATTACCAAAAAATGCCAAAAATTGCTATTTTTAACCCAAAATTTGACCCCCGCAACTAGTAATTTTTTTCCTAAGCTCTGTCTGAAATTAAAGATTACCTACCTGGTTGCAGAATTATCTGGGTCCCAGTAAAGTTGTAAAACTTGATTTTTTGCAATTTTGCGTCGTGTGCTGTTATTTTGCCTCCTGTAGAGCTAGCTTTTCATGTGTACACACACTTTCGGATTATGGACAAAATTTTATTCTCGAACCAAAAAAATCTTCTTTCTTTTTTACAAATGTGAAGCTCACATAGCCCACTCTATCATGCTTATACCAATTTTAGTACAGTTTTATTTTTATATTTTTTTTACATATCATTATACAGGGGTTAGCCATTTAACAAAAATATCGCCCATGGCCACAACCCTCTACTGCATACTGCTACCCCAGACTTCCTAGTTGGACGCTCTACCACTGAGCTAAAGGGAAATCCTCTAGTGTGGAGCTAGAAGGCGACCATAATTCTGTGTACAATTAAAATCTGCCGCACTACTCTCTCTTTTTAAATGTGTTAAATTTGCCCTCGAACACCACAGTCCAGGTTCTAACTCCCTGTCCCCACAGGGAGGGACATGGACACCATTTGTAACAGGAAAGACAGTGTGCTCACACCAGGGATCGAACCCGCGACCCCTAAGTTCCCAGTTGCACGCTCTACCACTGAGCTAAAGGGAAATTCTGTCTAGCCTGAAGCTAGAAGGTGACCTTAATCCTACGTACAATTAAAACCTGCTTTGTCAAATGATACAAGTTTAGAGAGTGTTACAGTAGACTTGTTTATGGAAGAGATAGGTATTTAAATGTATGCATGCATAATCATTAATTAGAAAAATATTTCAGAAAGTATTTTTCTGAAAATCGATTAATTAATTACACATAATTTAATCAGTGCTTTTATAAACTGTAGAAAAATGTTGTGTTAACTTTGAAAAGAAATGCAACAGTATGTTGGTCTACCACTGACAGTGCAACACAAAGCACATCATATGTGACGGTTGACAGCCCATATGTCCGGATGTTTTGTTATGAGATGTTGGAAGTGGATGCGTTTCATTGAAGAATCTCGATTCATGTTATTTCAAGTAAATGAGTGTGTTCTGGCATCAAGGGAACTGTACTGATGCCCATGTTTTGGAAGATGATCGATGGAGGGGTTATGGTTTGGGGTTTGAAGTCATTAATGGGAATTCAACAGCTGCCCGCTATAATCGTAAGGCCCTTATCTATGTTGTGCCTTTTTTTAGGAGGCATCATTGAACTCTACACAAGGACAATGCAATGCCACATGTGGCAAAAGTCTGAAGGATTTTCTTGCATCAAATTGCATCAAATTGCATCACCCCTATTGATTGGCTTCCATATAAAGCCTTGATTTGTCCCCATACGAACACCTGTGGAATTAATTAGACAGGAGAGTTCAGAATCACTGTAACCCTCGAACAATCTGTCCGATTAAGCTAATACAGTTGTCAAGGAATGGAATAACATTCCTATATAGACAGTCAGTGCCCTTATGAACACTATACGACACAGAATCAATTATTCTATAGCTGTTTGAGGAGGACATACTCAAATTAGGGAACAGTTTTACTAATGCTGCCATTTTCACTTTGAGTAACTTAGGGTACTTTATTTCATGGTAGTCTAATGAAGGCCGGTTTTGTTAAAAGTCACTGAAAAATTAAAGGCAGTTACATCAATATAAAAAAATTATTATAACATCTAGAATTAAGGCAAATTGCTCAAAATTATTAAGAACCTTTAAATTTGAAGCTGTATTTTATTTATTTTTTCATTTTAGTATAGATTACACATACATTTATCACATAATCGGCCTGTTATCCAGTGAAATTGCCCGTGTAATATTTTTACATATGTCACTAGTATAATATACCCTGGAGCGTTTTTCACTGGCTGTGCCAGTCAGAAATTGATTGTGACGTCATAATATGGACAATGACGTGACGTCATAAATTGTGAATGATGCAACAAAACAGCTGTCTCTGTTTGATTAGGCCCTCTACATTTGCCAAATGTCAGTTTTCTGGGTTATGTGATAAAAAGTACCTTAAATGTGTTTTCATGTCATATGAGCTTTAGGAAACTTGTCTCGAAGTTTTAATTTTTGCTCGCCAAGGCTTTCAAAAATAAAAAAAATCGTTTCATAAAATCTCATATGAAATGAAAAATCATTTAGGATCCTATATGTATGTGCATTGATTCACCCACACACCAACATTTTTATTTTTATTTATTTTTTGTAACCATTTCCTTCACAGACTACAGTTCATGCACATCAAGCATGGCAACAACATCAGCCGTCCTTTCTCAACCGCCTTGTTGGTACTGAGGACGACCAGCTACAGTGTATAACAAGTCCCTATACAGCCAGGTAAGGATGGTAGGGGGAACAGCTACAGTGCATAACAAGTCCCTATACAGCCAGGGAAGGATGGGAGGGGACCAGCTACAATGTATCAGTAGTCTGTATACAGTCAGGTGAGTAGGGGAGGGGGACCAGCTACAGTGCATCAGTAGTCTGTATACAGCCAGGTAAGTAGGGGAGGGGGACCAGCTACAATGTATCAGTAGTCTGTATACAGTCAGGTGAGTAGGGGAGGGGGACCAGCTACAGTGTGTATAACAAGTCCCTATACAGTCAGGAAAGGATGGGAGAGGGAACAGCTACAGTGAATAACAAGTCCCTATACAGCCAGGGAAGGATGGGAGGGGACCAGCTACAATGTATCAGTAGTCTGTATACAGCCAGGTAAGTAGGGGAGGTCACCAGCTACAGTGTATCTGTAGTCTGTATACAGCCAGGTAAGTAGGGGAGGGGGACCAGCTACAGTGTAGTGTATAACAAGTCCCTATACAGTCAGGTAAGGACGGGAGAGGGAACAGCTACAGTGTATACCAAGTCCCTATACAGTCAGGTAAGGATGGGGGGGGGAACAGCTACAGTGTATACCAAGTCCCTATACAGCCAGGTAAGGATAGGAGGGGGAACAGCTATAGGGTATAACAAGTCCCTATACAGCCAGGAAAGGAGGGGAGGGGACCAGCTACAGTGGATAACAAGTCCCTATACAGCCAGGGAAGGATGGGAGGGGACCAGCTACAATGTATCAGTAGTCTGTATACTCCCTATACAGCCAGGTAAGGATGAGGAGGGGGATCAGCTACAGTGTATAACAAGTCCCTCTACAGCCCGGTAAGGATGGGAGGGGGAACGGCTACAGTGTATAACAAGTCCCTATACAGTCAGGTAAGGATGGGAGAGGGAACAGCTACAGTGTATAACAAGTCCCTATATAGCCAGGTAAGGATGGGAGGGGGAACAGCTATAGTGTATAACAAGTCTCTATACAGCCAGGTAAGGATGGGAGGGGCAACAGCTACAGTGTATAACAAGTCCCTATACAGCCAGGTAAGGAGGGGAGGGGACCAGCTACAGGGTATAACAAGTCCCTATACAGCCAGGTAAGGACGGGAGGGGACCAGCTACAGTGTATAACAAGTCCCTATACAGTCAGGTAAGGATGGGAGAGGGAACAGCTACAGTGTATAACAAGTCCCTATACAGCCAGGAAAGGATGGGAGGGGACCAGCTACAGTGTATAACAAGTCCCTATACAGCCAGGTAAGGATAGGAGGGGGAACAGCTATATACAGCCAGGCCAGGATGGGAGGGGGAACAACTACAATGTATAACAAGCCCCTATACAGCCAGGTAAGGATGAGGGGGAACAGCTACAATGTATAACAAGCCCCTATACAGCCAGGTAAGGATGGGAGGGGCAACAGCTAAATACAGCCAGGTAAGGATGGGAGGGGGGACAGCTACAATGTATAAGAAGCCCCTATACAGCCAGGTAAGGATGGGAGCGGGACCAGCTATATACAGTCAGGTAAGGATGGGAGGGGGAAACGCTATATACAGCCAGGTAAGGATGGGAGGGGCAACAGCTAAATACAGCCAGGTAAGGATAAGAGGGGCAACAGCTATATACAGCCAGGTTAGGATAAGAGGGGCAACAGCATACAGTGTATCAGTAGTCTGTATACAGCCAGGTCTATAGGGGATGGGGACCAGCTATAGTGTATCAGTAGTCTGTATACAGCCAGGTGAGTAGGGGAGGGGGACCAGCTACAGTGTTTCTGTAGTCTGTATACAGCCAGGTGAGTAGGGGAGGGGGACCAGCTATAGTGTATCAGTAGTCTGTATACAGCCAGGTGAGTAGGGGAGGGGGACCAGCTCCAGTGTATCAGTAGTCTGTATACAGCCCGGTGAGTAGGGGGGGGGACCAGCTACAGTGTATCAGTAGTCTGTATACAGCCAGGTGAGTAGGGGAGGGGGACCAGCTACAGTGTATCAGTAGTCTGTATACAGCCAGGTGAGTAGGGGAAGGGGACCAGCTATAGTGTATCAGTAGTCTGTATACAGCCAGGTAAGTAGGGGAGGGGGACCAGCTACAGTGTATCAGTAGTCTGTATACAGCCGGGTGAGTAGGGAGGGGGACCAGCTACAGTGTATCAGTAGTATGTATACAGCCAGGTGAGTAGGGGAGGGGGACCAGCTACAATGGATCAGTAGTCTGTATACAGCCAGGTGAGTAGGGGAGGGGGACCAGCTATAGTGTATCAGTAGTCTGTGTACAGCCAGGTAAGTAGGGGAGGGGGACCAGCTACAGTGTATCAGTCGTCTGTATACAGCCAGGTGAGTAGGGGAGGGGACCAGCTACAATGTATCAGTAGGCTGTATACAGCCAGGTGAGGAGGGGAGGGGGACCAGCTACAATGTATCAGTAGTCTGTATACAGCCAGGTGAGTAGTGGAAGAGGACCAGCTATAGTGTATCAGTAGTCTGTATACAGCCAGGTGAGTAGGGGAGGGGACCAGCTACAATGTATCTGTAGTCTGTATACAGCCAGATGAGAAGGGAGGGGGACCAGCTACAGTGTATCAGTAGTCTGTATACAGCCAGATGAGAAGGGAGGGGGACCAGCTACAGTTTATCAGTAGGGTTTTTTCTGAAGATACCAGGTGGATAGAAGATGGACAATATTGTAGTTTGTTTTTAATTTCACGAATTTTTCCTTAAGCTACCTGTGAGTTTTTATAGTATACATGGTAATATACTTAAGGAAATCGAGATCCACATTTCACCATGGTTGATTGTACATTTGTTTTATTTAACAATTATTTCTTTTCAATCTTTGGCACGCAAGATTTATAATACTGTGTTATTTTTTTTGGTTTAAAAACCATTTCATTATACAAATGAATAAGGTTTCAAAAAGTGACAATAAGTCTGAAAAAAACATGAAGTATTTGCAAAGTGAAAAAGCATAATTTGGTAAATAAATATCAAATAAGGTTGGAAAAAGGAAAACAACCAACATCAGACAAAACCTAAATAAAAGTTCAGCATCTAAAAAGGGATTATATTTATATCATCATTTGACCACTTTAGTTGTTATCCTCTTTCAGAATTCTCAAGCCATTCATTCGTCGTGATTATGAAACTCGACCCCTTAAGATGAGACTCCTGGAGGAAATTAAAGCTTATCCCCACAGGTAGGCTGAAATTTTACCAGTCAGAAAATTTCCTTACAGGTAAGTCATTTAATAAAAAAAAATCCCTTTCTGAAGGTTCACATTGACAAATGAAATCTGTGCTTGAGTTATGTCCCTTGTTTTGTCATTGCTACCATTACTAAAAAAATTCATAACAATAATAATTTGTGTGTTTTACACAGACATGACAAGACCTGGAAGCCTGGCCCACCTCCCTCCATAGACTACTGCTATGTGAGGCCCCAACATATCCCTTCTGTGAATATACTGTGTCGGGAGTTCTTCTGGCCTGGCATTGACTGTAAGTACTCTGTGCTTTTGTTGTGTAAAGTGAAAGTTGTTTGACATGAAGACATTCAAGCATGAAAGTGTTACATAAAGCTGGCTGGTTAAGGGTACTGATGGTATGTCTTCATTATACTTGCTAGTGTTTATTAAAGTAAATGATATTTCGTACATTTATCATACGGGTGTTCTGGTGTCGATTGCTTAGAATTGCCTAGAGCAGTAATTCCATTATAAACTAACTGGAGATAAAAGAAGTTCAAATGTTAAAAAAAATGTGTTATTTGTTCTTTATTGCTGTAGTTTGTTGTGAAGGACTGTCAGAATTATATTAAAATTGATTAATTTATTTTACTGAATGTTTAAGGGAGTATTTCTGAACATTTTCTTCAGGTTGATAAGTATCAATAGCATACAGGTTCGCATAGCACATCCAGTGAAATGTGTATGTATGACGTTTTAATTACTAGTGAGATATGAACTCTTGTCACCTTCATGAACCAAACGACTGTTAAAGCGTATGTACATCAAGGCTTAACACATGTACGAGCTGACAATAAAACCAACATTGATTTGGCTATTCTTATTCTCTGTTATGTACACTTAGTTATCATAGATGTAGGAAATGATAATCAAATGGACAAATCAAATATGCTTTTTTTAATACCTGGTTGTAGGAGTGCAAGAGGTTTAGCGAATTATTACTTAAATTATAAGAATAAAAATAAGTGATATTGTACACATTTTACAAAATACATGTTTTAAAGTATTTTACTGTGATGAACCTTACTACCGTACATGTATGCTGTATCACTTGAAATAGCAGAGGACATTATAGATGCTTTAGTCGTATCCTTATAATTGTTTCTCTCTTTCAGTGTCCGAGTGTTTACAGTATCCAGATTTTAGCTGTGTTGTGCTATTCCGGTAAGAAACATTATATTGATGTCCTTCGAAAATTCCATGTTCTAGTACATGTATAGATTTTGTAGGGGCAACTACGAGCGAGTGATTAAGGCATCTAACCTTAACCAATCACAAGCCCTACACCACTAGGTCCGGGGGTCCAAGGCCTTCATGGGGCAGTCGCCAGGTACTGGCCACAGGTCGGTGCTTTTTCTCCGGTTACACCCACTTTGCTCCACCACCAAAACCTGGCACGTCTTAAAATGACCATAGCTGTTAATAGGACATAAAACACAACAAAACTAAACCAACAAATTTTGTAATGTTCTTTCTGCAATTGAAGACTTAAATATGGCTAAAACATTAAGAAATTTGCAAAATCAGTTTTTAGCTCACCTGCCCGAAGGGCAAGTGAGCTTATGTCGTGGTGCGGCGTCCGGCGTCCGGCCGTCCGTCCTCGTCCGTCAACTTTTCCTTTAAACAACTTCTTCTGAAGAACGGATAGGCCTAGAGTCATGATATTTGGCTGAAAGCTTTGTTGGTAGGAGCCCTACAAAGTTTGA